TCTTTGTATTCATGTAGAGTGCAAATCTGGATGTCACATTATTGGTGCCGATTCTAGCATCATAAGATTCTCTCTTGTTTGTGTGTGATGACAGCGAATGTTGATGGTAATTATTTGGTCTCAAGATGTTAAAACATTATATATTCGTAGTGTGTTTCAGACAATTCTTTAAGTGTAGAGATCTGTGTGAATGTTATTTACACGATTAACATTCTACTTTACGGTTCGAGGATGTATTTTTTTTTTTTGGTGAGTAATTCGAGGATGTATTTTTGCACCTAGCATTCCATAAAGTGTCTTCAAAATATTCAGTGCACGTTGACTGACAATGGATGTGCCGTTTACTGCTTTTCCAATCGCAGATTTTCATCAAGGGACACGAGAAAGGAAGCATAGTGCTTGAGCAGATCAGTTTTTGCTCGGATGTTCATGTGTTTACCGAGGGCTGCAGCTGTGGTCAAAGTCCATTTCATGCTTTGACTTGTTTATCAAAATGTTTGAGAAAATTTACGGCATAATCTTGAGTAGGCATCGGCTTTCTGATGCTAAGTTTTTTGTCATTACACATTCTATGATCTAGCTTGATTTTTTTTTTTTTTTTGAGTTTTTCAAACTTTGAAGTAATTCCAGGCATGCTACTGATGTGTCTGAGCTTCATAGTTCTGGATTATATCATGTGCTATCCTTAATGATGATAAAAGAAGTAAAATGATTTACATGTGATACACATGAAGTTTCGGGCAAAGATTTGCGTTGACTAGCTTCCTGGTTATACCAAGTATGTCCCATGTACTTTAAGTTATAGTAATGTAGAGTGAACCAGTGTCATGATCATTATTGACGTTGCCTAGCATACATTGTTAATTCTCAGAGATTTAATCGGTCACATGGTGATAATGATAGCTTGAGATAGTCACTCTGTGGCTCCGAAGGTACGCAAAAATCTCAATGTTTTGCGTGGTCAAGCAATTGCTTTCTCCTAAGTGTGCTTTCATTATTGTTCGATACTAAACGAGAGACCTCTTTTCTTCCGGTATTAAAGAGTCGAAATTTTGAGTTTTCTTTAAGCTAGTAATGATTATGCTGTAGCCAAATCTAGTAAAACATTAGAAAGTATCAAACCATTTGTCCGAAAGACCATAAATTAAAACGAATAGGAAGATTGTAATTTGGACATTAATCTCTTAGTTCAATGCATATTCACTGGGTTTCGCTAACTAAGACAAGAAGTACGTATATAATAATGATAGGTTATTGCTAAGTACCAGAATTTACGGGCAAAAACAAATAAGTTTATGTGTTGTTATTCTCGTTGTACTAAAGACATGGGGTATCACTAATGTGTACATTATTTTGACAGGAAAAAATACCAAAAAAGTCCTAAACATTTCAATTTTATCTATTGATTTTTTAACATTTTCACAATGTGCCAATTGAGTCTTGTCGGCCGGAAGGACTAAATTGATCGCTAATGTGATATGTGTCCTATCTCGTCAACCCCGTCACTTAAAATTAGGACCAAAACTATATGGAGCCCAGTTGCTCCATGCCATCACTGCCTGTAGAGTTAGATGCCCTGAGAAGTTCCTCTATTGTTGCTCAAGTTGTACCATTTCCTCATATCGATCATATGCGAATCTCCTTTAGCCCATTTTTTTCCATTTTGATGCCTAATTCAGGCAATTATAGAACGTGTTATTAACCCAGAAAATTCCATTTTACATGCATGTGTATCGCCTTTTGTGTTCGTTTGATTCGTGGAAGAGTTTCATGCCAAGATTATGTATGACTGGTGTGACGAGGAAGAGAATAACATCCGAGGAATAGATTCTTTGCTCATTGGAGATTCTGAGGCTTCTTCTATTCTCTTCTTTGAAAATTTTGAAGCAGAAACAACAAATTAACAAGGACTCTGACTCTGTTGTAACGTCGAGTCCGCATTTAGTTCCTAAGCTTCAGCTTTTGATAGTTCTCTTAAGCTCGGTGACGACTTGCAGCTTTTCCACGTTTCGTCCTTCGGAAGTTGAGTAAGATTGCTCCTCAGACTCGACTAGAGCTCCTTGCCCTTCTTCCTTCCTCCACGGTAGCAAGTACAGCCCGATAATGACAATGACTGCCCCGATTATGTTGATGATAATGCCACGAACTAATCCTCAGATAAACTGATAAAAAATGCTAAAAATATGTGCGAAGTATGGTCCTTTTAGAATTACCTGCCTATGTAGAGCTTCTCACCGTGGACGAAATATGCTAAGACGGCAACTAAAATAGTTGAGAGTGGGTTGAACATGGTGACAAACACCGGCCCCTTTTCTTCGGTGCACCACAGCTGAATGAAGATGATTAAACCCGAGCAATCCACTCCCTAAGACACAAGAAATCCATGAATTTTCAAATCAAGAGTCCAAATCTAAATTACTTAGTACTTACACCATATAAGGTGGACCAAAAATCTATGTTAAATCCGACCGTCCAAATCTATGTTTAGCCTAAATTGAATCGTTTTTATTGCTAATATATATATAAATGAAATAGGGATGATAGATAAACTGGTCAAAGGAAATGTATATTTAATTAACGCATTTCAATTAACATCTGGAATGTTTAAGAACTAAGTCAACCAAGCTTGATTTGTACATTGACTTCATTTCATCATATTTAAATCCCGTAACATCTGGGACGTTTACGAACTAGGGTTCGTTTGTTTTGCGGGAAATGTATCATTTCTAGAAATTACTTTCCCGACTCCGTTTTCCGGTGTTTGGCTAAAACCTAAAAAAGATCTGGAAAGTACTTTCAGTCATTTGGTAAGGAAAATTTAGTTGGGAATATTATCAAAAAAATTCGTATCCTTTTAATTTTTTAATATATTCTTTTATTTCCTTTTTCTTCTTCCTTGGTCAGTCACCGGCTAGCCACAGGCGAGCTCTAGCCTTGCCCAAGGCCAGCCAGGCTCGAGCTCGCTAGATCCCGACGAGCTCGAGCCTCACCAGCCCTGGGCGAGCTTGAGGCTCGCTGCCGAGGCCGCGAGCTCGCCGACCGACGACGTGGCCGTGGACCGGCCTAGGAAGAAGAAAAATAATAAAAAAATGAAATGAAAGGAAAAGAAAACAAAAGAAAAAAAAATAAAAATAATTAAAAATAATAAATGATTCGATTCTTAATAATAATAACAATAAATTCGAATTTTTAAATAAAAAATAGTTACAAATTCGTATTTTTTTTTTTAAAAAATATTTTTATATGAACAAACATTTCATCAACCAAGGACCCCAGCCCGAGTGGATCCGCGTTGTGGACCCGAGCCTGAGGGTCGAGATTAGAGTTTGAGATCACGTACCCGAGCTCGGCCTTTATGGAACCGAGTTTGGGTGCCGAAGCATCGGATACGAGCACCAATGGTTCGGGCCCGGCCTCGATAGACTCGAGCTCGACCGCCGAGACCTGGTCCTAAATGCCAAGACCCGGGAACCAGCGTTGGGGTTTTCGTGCTCAAGCGTAGAGTTTTGGTTCCAAGCGCCGATAGCTAATCAGATTTCCGAAAACGTTTTCCGGTTCTTTCAAAGAGGAAATTATTTTTCTAAATTTAAGCTTTGGTAGGAAAACATTTTCCGTTGACTCATTTTTCTAAACAGACCAAAGGCCGGAAAAATGAGGAAAATGTTTTGCGTGAAACAAATGCACCCTAAGTCAACCGAGCTTGATTGATTTGTACATTGACCTCATTTCAGGTTATTAAACAGGCCCTAGAAGAAAGGTGGGAGCAAGAAGTCACGGAGACGATGTTTGAAGTTTTTCTTTTATTTTGGTCGAAACGATGTTTGAAGTTAAAAGCTCCACAATGCTACAAAATCAAAAGTTGTAATACGACAACAATAACACTCAAAAATCCGCAAGGCAGAGATCAACCATTAGCATCTCATTGTTGACTAACGAACCAACGTATTGAAAAAATCCCGGGAGAAATTGAAAGGATATTTTTTATAGGTAAAACTTCGATCGAGAAATCACTGCAGTCTTTCTGAATTTTCGCAGAACCTTCACTCCAACAATCGCCATTCCAACATAACAAACACCCACGCATCCCCATCACCGCCTCACGTTTCGCCGGGAAGACGCTGGGGGATCCGTACGACGAGGAGAGAGAAAGCAGATTGATAGGAGGCTGTTGGTTCGGCATAGAGAGATAAAATTGCCTCCGAAATGGAAGCGATATACGAAATGTGCCACTGTGTGTCCTTGTCGGACAGTCACGGTCAGTCGGGCCAAGACGACCTCGTCGGACTCGGGTTCAGCACGTGCGGCAAGGTGGGTCCGGGTGACCCGACTGACCAGGACATGGGACGGTACCACGGAGGAGCTCGTCCAACGGGATCTATCCACCACACAAGACTAACATTTGGCCCAAAAGAACATAAGCAAAACATACATTTTGCAAAGCAAATTAAACCCGCTCCATGTTGATGAAAAGAGATCCGATTTCACAGAAATTTCATTATGAATTATGATGCGCACCCACCGAATTCATGTTGTAAGCTCACTTTATTGCTACCTTGATTTAAACGAAAAATGATACCACGAATCCACGGGTGGTTGTCATTATTTACGATCCACCCCCCATAATTTCCTTTGGACAGTAGTAGTCGATATCTCCACGATCTAGTGACTGCATAGTCCCGTATGAGGTGAGCTTATGATGATTATCAAGCAGTACAAGACACCAAATGGAGTCTTCATATCCACGAAAGTGGACGACTTCCAATCATCCAATGCAGAGACTCGTGCGCTCTTTCGCTTTTGCTCCATCCTGCCGGGCTTTGCTATTCTGACGTTTGACAATTTATTATATTTTATTGATTTCAGAATAGTATAAAGAAAGATATCGATGGAAATTTACAGGTTGGCTGATTTTTTCTTATAAAAAACTTCTGAGGGTTGGGCAATGTAATAACCATTGTTTGGAGCAGAAAGAGATTCCGACTAGGCTATACTCCAAAGGGTTCACCGAAGGCCAGACAGTTCTCGATCAAGAAATCTTACAGAATTCGCGCAATTGGACGAGTTAGAATTGCCAAAGATACTCCAACTGCATCACAGCAGATAGTCAAAAGCTCACAGATAGTCCAGCTAATCATACTCCATAAGGCGAAAAGAAAAAGTTGCTCGAATCTTGTATTGGCCATAAAAACCCGGTGCCTGTTAAGTTAAAAACTCTCTGTACAGCCCTAAAAACGGCGATGCCGCTTGAGATGACTGATAAGACCAAATGTAGTCTCTCATACTCTCAACAGCAATCCAAGAGTACCTGAAAGGAAAGACATACGGAGTTAATCATACACGCATGGAGTTCCTCACCCAACTGTCACAAGTTAATCATACGCGCATGGAGTTCCTTACCCAATTGTCACATTTGGCAGGCGATCATCATCATCATCGGGGTGTCTATATACGAAGTCTTCCATCCCGCTCAAGATCAACAAGCACGCTAGCATCATTGGCAAGTTTGTCGAAATTATGTCCTCTCAAGTTCAGGAGCACAAGATTACCTATGTCGCAAGTGTATGGTGAAGTCATTTGTATCAGCCAAAAGAAGAACTTACAAGGTATTTATGGAATGAAATTACCTGTCATAGCTTCCAATGCCGAGCATATGATAGGGAGAGATTCCGGAGGCATAATATTGTATGCAGCATCGACTGCAAGAAGCTCCGGCGCGCATTCAAGGAGCTTCGACAAAAATTTCGCCGATTCAATCCCACCGTCATTTTCCCTATACCAAGCAAAATAAATGACTTAGGTTAAATATGGTGAATGTCCTATAAAAGTCGCTGAATAGAAAGTCCAGTGTTAACCTCATATCAATTTTGAGAAGCTTGTTGTGCGTCACTTTTTGTAGCTGTCGAAAGCCAGATGAACCCAACTCAACAGCACCTATCTTGAGTACTTCAACTGATGTACCCATAAACTTCACCAAGGCTTCCGCTACATGGCTGAATAGACATAAGACAAATTCAACAAACCAGAATATAAATAAGCTCCAGGAATTAAAAATAGTTGTCAGGATAGAGGAAGGACCTGCCAAGCTTGTTATTTGAAATAGAAAGAGAACTGAGTGATTCATCTAATGTTGATAGGACGTTTAGCAATTCAATAACCCCACTAGCTGAAAGGTTGCACTTTTCCAGACTCAAGGCAGCCAAGGAAAAGCTTTTTCCAGATGCCTCGGCCAAAAATGGAATTAGATGCCTGCAAGGGGAAGATACTGTCAAAAAAAAAAAAGAAAAAAAAAAGAAACTAGCTATAAGTAAAACTGACCTAAGCCCATCATCGCCAATTGGATTCTCACTTAAATCCAATGTCCGCAAGGCAGGCATGTGAACAAGAACGTGCCTCAGATCGGCTGCATCTTGTTCGTGAAGATCATTTCTCCTGAATGCAAGAGATACCGATATTAAAAATAAGCACAATAAGAGGATGTCTACGATTGTATCGAGCCATTAATCACCGAATCCTCTATCCAAAACCATTCATTCTGTCTGCATCCAAGTATCTGCTGTATGTTGTATCCAGGTAAACAAGTGTACCAAGAAAAAGGGGAGATACCTCAGTTTGAGCACACGTAAAGAAGCAAATGGTTTGGCAGCTTCCGTAGATGAGATTCCGGTACCTTCGTATATCCAGGTGAAACTAGAAAGGCATCCTGATATCTGCAAGAAAAGTACATTTGACTTTGAAGTTAGTTTTTTCCCTGAAAAAAAAAACGATGGAAAGAAAAAAATGTGTACCATGCACCTCATTGTTACAGAGATCGAGGACGGATAGGTCACACGAAGCATCGAGAAGTGTAGTAAATATCAGGTCAGCATAGTTTCTGTCCAGCTGGACGTTATCAAATTGCAGTGAATGCAAGCACCTGAAAGCAAAAGTTTCAAAAGCAAAACCGGTGAAATTTACTGGGTCATTCTAAATCTTCACTTTATAGCACTTGAAAAAATCAGAACACAACAGGTTACAGCACAAAACAGAAATTACCTTGTAGATGAAAGAAATGACGATAATACAGAAGGTAAAGGAGGCTGGCAGTGAATAAAGTGAAGGGATGTTAATGTTTCACGATTCTGGAGCAGAAGTTGGCGTAAGGCAAGTTGGCGTAAGGCACGGACCTGTAGAATCGTATTTTATAAGCTTGCATATCCAAAATAGAAGGGCAAAGGATTTAATTAATATGTGAAGAATGCTTAGGAGATATATATAGTCCTGAATTTGGACATCATCTCACGTGCGCTACCTATATTAAAGCACAACTACCCATGTTCATGTCAAATCCTGTGTCTTTGCTTGTAATCAGTTGCTAAGAAGTGCAAGTGAACCTCATGCCATCTATACTTCATATATACACTTGGTTTGACCACAATGGCCATTGCCCAAGACTCTCTCCTGTTGAACATGGTACAGGTAACAAAAGGAAGCACTTTTGGCAGAAAGTGCAGATCTACACTGCCTCTATCATGCCATGAGGTTGTTGCAGAGTTGAAGTATTCAATCTTCAGAGATGCTGGCTTACTTGTGCAGATGCTTGAGTGAGTGAAGAGATGGTCAGTCTAGAAGCAGACAGATGTAAAAAGCATCATCCCCAGAATGGCTTTCTTTGGCTTTAGCCGTGACATGTGACTGCTAGCTATAGCAATGGCCTTTGTCAAAATTAGTGTTTGGAAAATATTATGCTTACATTTGTTAACTTTGTGGCTTTGACCAAACCACAAAAGAAACCATGGAAGTTCAGATCAACCCGTGTTAGCTTGTGATATGTCATATTTTTTTATTGGCTTCTGTTGTCGAACAAAATTTGGATTAAAAGTCCACAGTAAAAACTAGGAGTGAAATCCTCTTGAATACCCCCTTATTAAGCAATCTACCCGAAACTCAAAGCATAAAGAGGAGAGCCAAAAATTTATATCTGAAAAGGTGTCGCGATTTTTTAAGACTGCGACTACTTCACTAACCACAGTATCCCAATTGCCTTACTTCCCAATCATCAGCCAAAGAGATGCAAAAAGGGTGTTCCAGCATGCCTGCCTTGCACTACCTTCTACTTTAAATATCAAGTTGTCTCCCATTGTCTGCTCTTCTTAGAAGGATTTCTAAGAGAAGCGCATGGGTGGGTCCATGGATATGTCCGCCTTTAGTCATGTATGGAGAAGGTGGTTGGAGGGAAGGATAACTTACATGCTTCCTCGTTCTGCTCCCCCAAAGTGCCAAACTTTCCAATCTAGAATTCTTCAATAGATGCTGCAAAAGGGAAAAACTAAAGTAAGATTAAACGATGTATTTTTATTTTCTTTCAACTCTTTGGCCAACAGACCCCCATTTATGGGCTCACCCCAGTACACACTCAATATGATATTCATGTTAGACCTCGTGATTAAGTGCTGGGATCTATTCTGTTCAATATGCTTCGAAGATCTACCCACACAACATGACAGATTTTCAAAGCGATACCCATAACAAAGGAATAAGAATCTGAGTGTAGCTTACACAAGTTTCTTCAACGCACAGCACCTCTCGAAGTTTCAGATTTCTGCAGAGCAACAAAAACATACAACAGAAACACGGTTTCTCACTTCCGCTGGAAAACAATTTCGCTATACATTACGGTACGGACTCTGAATGAGAAGTAGGCAGCATATCCGATTATATAAGAAAGGTTATACTATCACGTCATCAACACAATTCTACGGAAAATTACCTCAAGCAGGGTGCAAAACGTTCACAGTGCTGATAAAGTTGCGAGAACTTGGATGTAGAAGTATCAGTTCGCCCCTTACAACCGAGAAATTCCAAGATATGATCTGGGGAGGACAAAGGACCAGACTGCAGAAAGTAAGTACTCCCAAGAAAGAGAGTTTTAATGGATGGCTAATGCGTATCATTACGAATAAGGTATCGAAGCCCGTCTTAGACTCGTATTCTCACCTTCAAAGCTTCATGTTTGACAAGTAATATCTGAGAAAGGAAACGAAAGACCATAGGAAATATACCTGAGATTCTTATTTCGCCCATCTTCCCATCAAAGGACGGGCGCACTAGAGCCTCTGCTGCTTCGTCTAGGCAACTGATTTCCAACAAGAAGAGCGAACAAATCAAAGCGTTCGTGGAAAATAAATATATACCCGACGTCTAATTTAAAACTATTCGTCGTACTTCTGTAAGTGCGTATGACAATATGCCTGATGCCAATCAGCTGGTTGATTCTGGTCGAGGAGCTCCTGCCAGCGCAGCCCAGAAAGCGACCGGAGCAATGCGGCCTCTTCTGCTTCGTCTTCGCCCCTAATATCCAACAAGAAGAGCGAACGAATCAAGACGATCGCGGAAGATGAATATTTGCCCGACGTCCAATTTAAAAACTATTCGTCGTACTTCTGAAAGAACAACCCGTCGTATGCATCATGCCAATCAACCGGTTTTTGCATGGCAAGTTTCAACCTCCAGCGCTGCTGGCACAGTGACCTCCACGCATCATTGAAGCTTGGATTCCTATTTCCAATAAAACTCGCATTCAATGTCTTCTCTCGAAACGATGACTCGTCTGATAGGATAGCTCTCTAACAAAAAACTCAAATTAAGGGAATGACAAACCCTTTACAAACCTTGGGCAATTCGTACCATCCGAGACATACTCATCCCGTTTCCCTTCTGGCCTGATCAAAGAAAGAAAAACAGACGGACGGTCGGTCGGTCGGTCGAAAAAGGAAAGGAAAACACACCATAGGGCGGCGAAAGACACGGAGAAATCAACAGACAGATTGGATCGTAAAATCAAAAGAATGATTTGCATGGCTTGCTATACTCGGACTCCGCAGTAGCGAGTCAGTCCCCTCAATTCGAGGAAGTGCGGAAACCAGACACGCTGGCTATGAGATATTAGGGCATCACGGAACAGGATGAGAGTCCCAATTCACTCACATCTCGTCTAGCAACTTGTGCAAGCTCAACGGCGGCAACCGTGCCATCAGGGTGTCGAGAGTTTCCGAGGGAAGCTCGTAGAGAGAAGATGGGTTTAGCAGATGAAGCTACGAAAGCCGATGAGAATGAGCGTCTGCACTGGAATTTCAGTGTGTTTGGGAAGTCAAGATTCAATTTTTAGCCGCCAAAAGGAAATCACTTCCCCCATCAAAATCGTCCGAGCCCGAAATCGGAACCCGATCCAGGCGGTTTCTGGAGCCGGAGTCGGAAAGGCGAGGCCGAAGGTGATGAAGAAGAAGGAGGGGAGGCCTTCGAGTGAGCTCAGCAGAGGAAGAGAGAATGGGGTTGCAGAAGAGAGAAAGAAAAGGACCTCCTTCACGTTACAGAAAGGAGAGAGGAGAGAGGAGAGAGGAGAGAGAGCGAGAACGCAAGAGGCAATAAATATTTACTAAGGGCTTCCTTCCATTGCCATGTCATGCGACACGTGTCGTCTTTTAGGTGGAACATGGGCGCTACGTAGGCTGATGACGTGGTGCTCAGCAACCGCTGAATGTTTTCTCGAAGGGAAACACATGGGAATCCTCTCGTACATTTGCTAACTGCGATTGGCAGCTTAACGAAAAACGGTGCCGTGTCGCGGCCCACGACGGATCGAAATGACAATTATACCCCTAGGTCGTGCGCCTAATGTATGTACGTCTCGCGCCTCGCCGATCTCAGAGTCCCCCCCTGCCCACTCAGTCACTCTTCTCTTCGAGATCTTGGAATTTCTTTGTCTCTCTTTCTCTCTCTCTCTCGGTCTACATCTCCGATCCATCAATGGCGAGGCAGGAAGCAGTCCGAGTTCTCGTGACTGATGCTGGAGGTATGGTCGGATTCACATCTGCTATTTCTTCTTATTTTGGTAATCTCTTGTGTTGCTACGAGGATTTTAGAAATCTGAACCCGTGTCGTCCATCGTTCGATGCGGCGAGCTGTTCTGTTCTGGTTGCGTCATCCTTTATAGAATCGTTTTTTTTTTATCTCCTCGTAAGAGTTCCATTCGTTTTTTTTTTTTTTCTGTTTTTTGGGTGGATCCCATCTTGCTTTTGTTTGATTGTGGTCGAATGGTTTCGCGATGATTCTTAGTATCGAGATCGTGTTGGTTTTGTGCTTTTTGTGAGATTTTGGTAAGAAGGGCTCTTGTGCTTTCAGTTTGGATTCATTGTGAGATGTGACTTTGGTAGGGTGGATCCTAATGTAGAGGCACTGGAAGATTAAACGATTACTGCAAACGGAATTAACGTTATCCTCTTATTTGTATCTCATCTCTTAACGTCGGCAATAGAATAAGCTGAGTGGCCTGTGGTGTAGTGGAAAACCATGAACATTGTCTCCTGAATTTGGCTTTGCTAGGGTGAAATTATACTCGTTCAGTAGTCTTTTTTTCTTTTTTCTTTTGCATTTTCCGCTTTATTTCAGATAAGTTTGTTCTTTCTCACTTAAAGATAGCATCTTTTACTAAAATATAACCTACAGGTCGCGATTGCCGCATATTTCGGTTTACTTGTTGACCACCAATTTGGATTGTCCACGGAAGAAGTTTGGTGCATCCAATTGTATCTAGTAGACTTTTCCAGGTTTTGAATGTACAAATATGAGAGACCTTGTTTCATCATGTAGGGCCAATTGCACAGGATCTTGTTTGTTTGATCGCTAGGGGAGTGATGCTAGGTTATGACCAGCCTGTAATTCTACACCTGTTTCATAGTGCAACTAATGTGAAGGCACTGGAAGATCTGGAGAGAGCATTGATGGATTCTGTACTACCTCTTCTTGAAGGTTTGTGTAGCTTCTTTGTTACTATTAAGCTGATGTTCTCGTCGTCTTGGGCGTGATAGTTATCACGTAGTACACCATGTAGTGTTTGGTTATAAATCCATATAATAGGATGATCTAATGTGGCACTTGAATTAGGTGTGGTTGTAACAACCAACGTTGAGCAGGCATGCAAAGGCATTGGATTTGCAATCCTGATAGGTGAGTTTTTAGGGAAAACCAAAACCTTTAGATTGGAAGCGATGGCGAATAGTTTTGGGATTTACAAGAGACAGGTTGATGCTTTAGAAAAGCATGCAGCCGCCAATTGCAAGGTAAGTTTCTTCTTCTTTTTTTTTTTTCAAGGAATGGTGTGAGCTGGAGGCCTACATGGAGATGTCAATTACAAGAACTTTGACCTTTTGGCATGCTTGTGAATTGGACCTCGTGTCTTTTTTCACTTGAATAGAGTAATTATAGATAGAATAGGACTCTTGCTCGCTAATCGTCGGAGTTTCAAAAATGTTCATTTGATCTGAAAACTTGATTTGCTTTCCTTCCCATTTCTATGGATGACTTAATATGCAAATAGGTGAAATGCTTTTTTATTTTATTTTATGAAATCTCTTAATTTCCTCGGCACGATAATTTGGTTGGCTAATTGGTAAATAGATGCAGCTCATCATGTTAATCTGCAAATAGGTGAATGTCTTTTCTTCTTGAAATCTTTTAATTTCCTCTGCACGAAAACTTGGTTGACTAATTGGTAAATAGACAACATTGCATGGCAATGTCCTGAGATGACTGTTGGTCAATGATAGCATGGAATTATGGTAGGATGATATTTTAAAAAGTATATATTATAAATTTATGACATTCGTAGTTTGATCTTCTATGAAGTGCCTATAGAAGTTATTTTCATCGAGGGATGTTTGAAACAATATATGCGTGTGTACGAACTTTCTGTTTTCTCTTTCTTCCGCAGGTTTTGGTCATTGCAAATCCTGCAGATAGGCTTGCATTGGTTTTGAAGGAATTTGCACCATCTATTCCTCTCAATAACATTACTTGTCTCACTAGACCCGATCATAATCGGGCATTGAGTCGGATTTCGCAGAGGTTGAATGTTCCAGATTATGTTGTGAAAAATGTTATCATATGGGGAAATCACTCGTCAACTCAATATCCAGATGTCAATCATGCTATGGTTAATACATCATCTGGTGAATATCTTGTGCGTGAACTCATTAACGATGATGCATGGTGAGAAAACCATCTTTGAGTTGATTATTGACGGATTTAGTTGGTATTATGATTTGAGTTTTCTGTAGTTGTAAAAAATTTTATTTGCTGAAGGTGGAATGATGGAGGGTTTATTACTGATTTCCAAGAACGCACTGCTGAAATTTCTCAATCTCCGTGGGATTTAAGGGCAAGATCTATTGCCCAAGGTGCCTGCGACCACATCCATGACTGGGTGCTTGGAACTCCAGAAGTACCGGTGTCTTTTTCCTTTTCCTTTTTACTCGATTCCATTGAGCTTTTAGTTAGGCTTGTTTGTTCTGAACTCTCGTTCTTTGGACTGCACTTTCTCAGGGTAGGTGGGTTTCCATGGGGGTGTATTCTGATGGCTCTTACAATGTACCTGTTGGCCTCATCTATTCCTTCCCGGTAACTTGTCGCAATGGAGAATGGACCATCGTGCAGGGTATACAAAATTCTATTTTCCCATTAAAATCAATTACAATCTTCATTATTTGCACTTTCTTCTAACAAATTCTGTCCGGAAACTGTTGTTGGTCCGAGATGTTTATCTTGCACTTTGTGGCACTTCAATCTTTTCATTAAACTGTTTTTTGGAAACTTGTCTTTGTATTTTGGTTTGTGGCCTATTTAGTCGTCTTGGGATTTGGTCATGTTCTGTGGTCTTGATGTAGGTCTCCCACTTGATGAGTTCTCGAGGAAGAAGATGGATTCGACAGTGAAAGAACTAATGGAACAGCGCATGCTTAATGTTGACTCTCTTCTACATTGTATTTGGCGGCGGCATAGTGCTTGAAGCGCTCGCCACCGCTGTGCACAGTCCCCTTCCCCTCTTCTATGTTCCGTTTGTTTATTTCCCTATCTAATTTTGATATTTAAAAACCAGACCCTCCAAAAATAATGGTGAATTAGTTAAAACATGACATGCACTTTGACCGAAGCTCCAGCTAAAATTGGCCGGAAAGTGAAAGCCACAAGTCAAGATATATTCACTTCCACTCGCATGAAATTGCATTCACAAATTAAGAACCAATTCAATTTCCACTGTCCCATCGATTGCCATCTTTTGTCACATAAGATTGGCAAGTATGCCAATGGATTTGCTGCAAATCAATGTAGTTGGTGTTGAGGCGCTTGGGGCACTTTTCAATACTTCTCTAATGCTTGCAGCATGAACCCATAAAAACTTTTGCATTCTCATGGATATAACTTGATTCTCGGAACAGCAGCATATTTTTGTTCCCAAACTGACCTATGATGGAAGACTGTTAAGTACATCAACAATTAAGGACGTTGTTTTTCTTTACTTGGTGATTTTCTTAATTGATATTAACTCAAACGAGTTCGCTTAGTGCTGTAATGACTGAAGTATTGATGACGCGAATATCAGCAAGTTCAAAATGGTACTGCAGTTCTTGAGGGTGCGTTTGGTTCAACTTTGGAAATGCTACTTAGGGGAATGCAAATACCTTTAGGTTAAAGCCTCTTGAGGAAATGCAAATGGTGTTTAGTAAAAAATTCTTTGTAAAGCTACTTTGGCCTAATTAGTGTTTGGTAAATTTTTTTTGCAAAAGGGCTTTGGGAATTATGTTTTTTATTAAAAAAAAAAAAACCTAACTTACCATTTGCCAGAGCTACGGCCGCCAGCGAGCTAAATCTGGCGCCGGTGGCTGTCGCCCGAGGTTGGGCAACCGCCGGCAACCCAGATCTGGTGCCGGCGACCGTTGCCCGAGGCCGGGCGGCCGTCGCCCGAGGCCGGGCGACCCTCGGCAAGGGTCACAGGACCCAGGCGGCCGCCTGAGTCGCGTGACCCAGGCGTCCGGCTCCTGGGTCCTGGCTGCCTGAGTCACACGACCTAGGCGGTCAGCACCTAAGTCGCGCGGCCCTCACCTTGGGTCGCACAACCCTCGCCGAGGGTTGCCCGGCCTCGGGCGACGGCCGCCGGCCTCTTGCCGGCCCGATCCGGTGCCGGCCGCCCTCGCCGGCCTCCCTAACCGGCCACCTCACGAAGAAGATGAACAGTAACAGGAGGGGCAAAACCGGAATAAACTAAAATAAGTGAGGGTAGTTTGGGGACAAAAAATTTGGAATCAGCATTTGTCGAATGCTAAAAGCCCAAAGCTGGTCTGGACCAGCTTTGGGCTTTCAACATTCCAAATGCTAGCATTTGGTAAATGCCGATCCAAATGTTGAACCAAACGCAGCCTAAGAGTCATTGCCGAGATAATTGAAAGGGTGTTGAATTAAAGGCACAAAATGATGGCATCCTATATGTATGAGAAACATACTGCCTAGTACAATATTATTTTGTATCAAATGCCACAAGAACAAGTAGGCCCTCAATTGTATCGAACAACAAATCAAAACTTTAGAATCCAAAATTGCTCAGCAATAAATCTGGGCCTTATACACATATATACTTAAGTTTTTGGGTGGTGAATCCCTTAACATGGCATTAGTAACTCCTTCGAACCTCATGTTTACATGTCTTAGCACACCATGTGCGTTTCCATCACAAGTAAGACATTCTTGTCAACTGTTGTCCATCGCCATCAGTTTAAACTAGAGAGAATGTTAAAAGCCCTGCATTGCTCAAGAATGCGATAATTGTGGCCACACTGAGACCCACACGTACATGTATAATCTCAACAAAATAGGTTAAGTTTTTCACTGAAAATCTTCTACACTCGCTTAGATACATAACATTCTGAGTAAGCAACTCCAACCCCTTCAAGTGTCCCGCTTCTTTCCTTGTTTAAATGCATGCACCAAAAACAGTTATGCTGAAAACTTTTTTCCCCACGATGATGCTAAGTGCAGTTTACCCCAGCAAAATGCGACAGCATCCTTCATCAGTGCTGAAAGACCAGATAGTCTAAGATTGCACCAAACCATTAAACAAATTCTGCCTTTCAGCTTCTACTCACATATAGAGCCGCTGTAATGCCAAATGCTGACAGTAAACCTACCAAACGAGTCACTCTCTATGTCATGAAGTTTAAATCTCAGGAACTGAAATTAAGTCAAGTACCTTGCTCTTGCGGAACCGTTAGCAGAGAACATGTTCCATTTCCATTAAACTAATGGAAAAGGAATGAACCCTCTTTCATCCATTATAGCGGCTTAAGCTTGCAACTCCTAACCAAATGGAAGAATGAGATGACACTGTGTTCTAAAGTAGAGATCCAAAACATAAGACAAAGTAAAAGTTACAGTAAGGTTTAGCTTTTCCAACTTGTGTTAAGTGCACTAACACAGTGCCACTGCATGCCAAATCGCAGAGCTTTAGAAAGAGAAACTTTGGTTGTTTTCAAGTGCTTGAGAATGAGTGTAGCGGAGATGAGAATACTTCACCAGATTTGCAGGCACACAAGAAATTACAAGATAAAAATGAATATACGAGGTAGGTATTGCCCCGATTGAAGAGAAGATGAGAGAAGGACGTATGCTATGTTGACACATGCTTGACCCAACCGATAATGGATAATGCGCTAAGGACAAGCCTAGATCAAGGCGCTCTCAAAGGACTTGTGACACATATATATCCCTTTTTATAGGGTGCCTTGTAGAATATTCAAGTAAATAGATATGTACTGAGCCATTTATGACTTCGTTTTTAGTCTATAGATCATCCATGTTTAAGTGTGTGAAACTATAGAAGGAACAATATTTATATTATGTATTTTACTCTGTGTTATTATGTCTTAGAAGTATGTTACTATTAGACATAAACATTTTCTTTATTATGAATAGACTCGTGTTTTTATGATGAACTCGTTAATTATTTAGAATTGTGGCTATTTTACTTAATAGAAAACTTTTTCGAGAAAAAGTAAGGGAACTCGAGAATGTGAGAAATTAACCGTGTTTTGGGGTGTGTTCCAAAACCTAATGAGAAAGGTTATAAGTGTGAAAGACACAGCAATTTCCAGCTACTATTTAGAAAAATCGGCGTCCCTAAATCACTCCAGCAGAGTAATAGTTAATGTATCTGCTTGACAAAGACTAAAGAGAGACAAATTTGGTGAACCTGCATAAACAAGCATTAATCTCGGGTACTCCTCAGAAAGGACTGCTTTTGTCTTAAGGAGTGTTTTCTCCCTTTCTTTAGAAAGGCTTTTGTCAGTTAAGATCAATAGAAGAAAAACAGAAAAGCTTCTTTAGAAGGCTTTTTAGGAGAATATATAATATTTCTGCACGATCAATAAAAAGCCATCAAATTAACACTTTCCTCCTTTGATAATAAAAATAAGCGTAAGTAAAATCTATTTCCCTCTCTACATGGTCTTTGATGTATTTTCACTAAGACATCATTTGTTTCGCGAAAAATAAATGATTTGAAAAAATACTTTTTTTTCTCAAAATGATAGTTTGTACCGCTTGAAACAATTAATCAATGAACAATGTTTTCATTATGTCTAAAAATTTTTTGTAGACAACGAAAATATTTTTCGTTCGTTCATTTTCGTAAGTGATATAAGTAATTATTTTTTAAAAAATATTTTATAAATGATTTTTTTTTGCAAAACATTTTTCCCCTTGCTCGTGCAGCAAGGTGGAAAACTTCTCAAAAAGATTGAGCGCTAGAGCTTGCTGGTGGACCAATTGGGCAAAGGAAGGGTACGTGGACCGACATGCCAGCTAAACCTGTCAAAATGGGTTATAAACTCATCTCGTAACCCATATATCAGTAAATGAGTCATAAATTAGTTAGTTATATTCACTAAATATGTCATAAATTGATTAGTTATATTCACTAAATAGGTTATAAATGGGTATAAACATAATATGGGTGTTAAATGGGTCAAAATGGGTCGTAAATGGGTCATAAATGGGTTTACAACTTATTTAAACTCAATTCACCTCTCTTGCCCTCACTCAATCTCGTGCTCACTCACTCCGCACTCTCATCTCAGTTTGGGTATAAGTTTTCCTAGATTGAGTTAATGCTGCGTTCGTTTGGCGAAAAATATTTTCCAGGAAAACATTTTCTGGGTTTTCCAGTGTTCGGGGGCGGAAAAAATTTTCCCTCAATGAGGGAAAACATGAACAAATTTGTGGAAAATGACTTCCTCTTTCTCAAAAGAGGAAGTCATTTTTCACAGTCTTCTTCTTCTTTCACCAGATTTTCAATATTTTCTATCCTCCCTAGTCGCCTTCCGCCACTCCCGTAGGTGGCCGTTGGTCTTCGTCGCCGGTCGTCAGCCACCGGTCGCCGCCGCCGGTCGCTAGCCGCCGCTGCCGGTCGCCGGTTGCCGCCGTCAGTCACCCGCCGCCGACCGCCGGTGGTCGCCGAACACTGGAAAGTATTTTCCGAGACTTTTTCAGATTTCAGCCGAACACCGAAAAATTAAATTCTGGAAAAACATTTTCCAGGAAAATGACTTCCGGGAAAACATTTTCCAAAAACATAATATTTTTCGCCAAACGAACGGAGCCTAAGTATGGAAATATTTTAGCTATATGGATCGGGTCAAGTATGGGTTGGATATGGGTCATTATATTTTCATTACAGGCCTATTTGGGTCGAACCATTTTCGACCCGACCTGACCCGAACCCGACCCGACCTACTCGTTTGATAAGTCTAATGCCGGCAGAATTGGTACATAAAAGATGATCCAATAAATGGGAAAAAAAAGTTCTTTTGTCGCGATGAAGAATGGAATTGTTGGGCCCGTGCCTAGCAAAACAAGGAGTCATTTTCATGTTTGATGTCTCACTTTTAACATTAGGGAGTACGATAATTGGCATGCGCTTTGTGCGGGCATATTTGTTTCCATAGTTACGAATACTTTCATAGCAAATCTAAATCCGTGTTAATGTTTGTGATGAAGGTAATGTCAGCTAAAAGGCTACATTTAAGAAAATAAATTGGCGAT